TCTTTACTCATTTCACAACCTGACAAGTAAGGAGTGCATGTTCTAAAGACCACTCGCTATTGGGCCGCTACTAACAGAAAGGTATGTCAAAAACTTTAAATTTGTTAAAAAAGAATAATACCATAAACCATTGGTCATAATTAACAATGCTTGACTAGTAGATTTCATATCTTTTAAATCGGACAAGAAATAAAACGGAATAGTTTTCAATTCTTTACATACCTGGTGTGTTCTCTGTTGATGACCACTGGACTCGAAAAGAATGGTTTAACAATGTCCAAATTCAAAACTTAAACAAGTATACCGTAAAAGGAATGCTCTCCTATAAACATCAGGGTGAAATTTACTGAAAAGGACCTTAAATCAGAGGTAAGGTGAAATTTTTTTTAGACCGATTTTGGTTCATATAAAACATGTTTGCATTGAATAACAGTTCCCGACACTTTCCGCATGAAACGAAATTACAGTCGTTTTTGGAAGGGGACCTTATATGGGGAGTAGAGTCAATTATGAACCGATCCATATAAAATTTGATAGAGAGATTTTGGATCAACTTATGTGTGTCGAATTTCATCGTTATAATCGTATTTTTAAGCCAGTAATGAGCACTAAAGTCATTTAATGGGGGTAGGGTCAATTATGGTCCGATCCACATAAAATTTAATAAATAGATTTTGGCTGACATGGAGCATATGTGCGTCGAATTTCATCGTCACACTCGTATTTTTAAGGCAGTAATTAGCGTTAAAGTCATTTTTTGAAGGGACTTTATATGAATGGTAGGATCAATTATGGACCGATCCACAAAAACTTTAATTTTAGCTCATCGGGGACTTAATTTGGTAGAGAGATTTTGTCTCATACAAGATTTATGTGTGTCGAATTTCATCATATTTTTAAGCCAGTAATGAGCGTTATAGTGATTTTCTGAAGGGGACCTTATATGGGGGGTAGGGTCAATTATGGGTCGATCCTCATTAAATTTGGTAGCAAGATTTTAACTTATATGAAACTTTTAAAACAAATATCGCTATACTTTTAAAACAGATATGACCGTTAAAGCTGTTTTTCAGGGGTCTATTTGTATTGGGGGCTATCCGAAAACGTGAACCGATATTGCCCATTTTCAATACCAAACAAACCTTATCTATAGAGAATATTTTTGGAAAATTTCAACGCTCTAGCTCGTTTTGTACAGACCCTATCGTGCTTTCAACAGACAGACGGACAGACGGACGGACATGGCTAGATCGTCTTAGAACTTAATAAGGACCCAGAATATATATACTCTTGTGGGTCTATGATAAATATTTCGATATGTTACAAACGGAATGAAAAAATCAATAAACCACCCATCTTTTTTGATGGTGGGTACTGGACGTATGATTAATATGCACTTAACTAATGTGTTGACTAAAATAATCATACGCCTACGTAACAATCTTTCTTTTTTTTTGAAAATTCGTCAGCTAGTGATCTATTGATTACACAGTTACCGTTGAGGTATTCTGAGTTAATTTCAAATTTTACAGCTTCAATTTTTACTAGCCCCTTACTCTGTGTAGAATCCAGTGATTTTAATTTCTACGGTGATATTTTCTCATTAATAACGTTTCACAAATATACTTTATTAAATTCAAATATCTTGTAATAAGAAAAGGCTAAAATTTTAAACAAAAAATCCTTTAGCACACTGTAAAAGTCACCTTAACCTAACACCTTAACATCTCCTCTAGAAAATCTTACACAATGTACCATCAAAATGAAATGAATTTGAATTTTACTAACCATTAAAGTTTTTCTTTCCGTTCATGTTTTGGTTTTTCTTGTTCTTTCTACATATTTTATTTTGTTATTTTTTATCTTATTTTTTTTTTTCATTTATTTTTCAATTTATTTTTTTGCTTCATCAAAATTTATATGATCCTCCTTACGTTTTTGTTTTTGCACTTAAACTAAAGTGGAACACCAAAACAGCATACAAACCAGCAGGAAATGAGCATCTCTATCTCTAAAAAAGAAAATAAAAACAAATGATACACTTTTTCCTTCATGCCAGGTTAGCGAAATTGTATCACTATAAAAGAATTTAATTAGATATTCTCTCTTTTGTTATCATAACAATACTACTCGAACTTTAATACACGAGACAAGAAAAACGTTAGAGAAAAAAAAAAGGTGGAAAAAAGTATCACTCGAAATAGGAGCAGCACGTTTAAAGATAAAACTCATTAAATGCAGTTTTGTTCTGTTTTTATTTTCACATTCTGTGTGAAAACTATACCCGTACTAGCAGAAATTTAAGTATAATAGTTTTTTATATTAAAATAGTTATTGCTAATTTTTGTAATTACATTAAGAAATGTAATGGCAACATATTTTCAGTTTTAGTTTTTTGTCTTTCGTTTTAGCTATGAAAGTTAAAATTGTTTGAAAACTAAAAACTAGTTCAACCATTTTGTGGTTTATAGTTGTTCTATTGAGTTTTTTTGGGCTAAATATACTTTTTGTATTAAAAAAGGCAATTATAAAAATGGGGTTGTAAAACAGGTAAGGTTTTATAATAAAGTTTGGAGAATATTTTTAGCTGTTTAACTTTAGGATGAAAAGTTAGAATCAATATATGTGACACCTAGCATACCTAGCTTCATTGCTCTTTTAACAGACAATAAAAGATTCTATAGATTCCAAGTCCACAAGAGAACTCACCGGAACATCTATGATATGGGTCAGTTCATGAATAATTCTAGTTCCAAGATATCTTTATCTCTGCCGTTGTATGGCTGACAATGAAATAAAAATAATTTTATGGACTCTTTTTCTTTATCTTAAACATTTTTGCAATAGCAAATATTTCAAATTTCATTGAATTATCTTCAAAATTGCGACCTGTAGTTTGATTACAAGGTACCCACAAAAGTGGTGTAGGGTATAATAAGCGGACAAGTGTCTCTCATTTACAGTAAAAGTGTTAAAACTGTATTTTGAACGTTTAAGGGTTAAAAATTTAACACTTTTTTGTAATGTTTTTTTTAATAAATAATATTCATATGATAACTTACTGATGGGCTCCCACCAAGATATCGAAAATTTTTTTATAAAATATCAGAATGAGTCGATTAAGCTATGTCAGTCTGTCTGTCAGTCCGTCTATTTGTCTGTCTGTGTATCCATATAATCCTTATGCGTACGCTAAAGATTATGTACGATGAAGAGCTTTTTCTTCACCGGCAACGTTATAGAGCAATTCGGTTTACTTTGAATTGTTGTCTATAGGTTGCTGAAATTGTTCTATGGGCAGTGATTATCTATAAAACAAAATAAATTACGACCGTGGTACCGACGAATGAAAAGAGCGATGTTTTTCGATTGACTTCATGATGATTTATTTATTTAAAAATTCTTTTCTTAAGCCTAACAATTGATCATGTAAATAAGGGCTACACTGTTGTTATTGTAATATTATTTGTTTCTCACTTCCAATGTACCAACTCAACTTGTTTATTTATATTCAAAATATGCAAAAACAAAATACATGCAATAAGTCTCCAAAATAAGAAATTGCATTTTTAAGAGCAACAACAATATGCTTATAATAAGAATTGGAGTGAGAAACAAATAATAAAAACTAACGGGTCATTACCAAAAATATGTACAGTGGTTAGTATGAACAAAAAATAATGACAAATTACAGTGGCAACAGTGAGCCAAAAATATGAATAAATTTAAATACAATAAAAAATGGAAAATTTAAACAAAACAAAATAATAATGTTAGTAATTATTATACGGTGACCTAACATTCCGGCCCCATTGAAAGGACACTTTCAAGAAGATAGAAGAGCCAGTCTGTGGATAGGGCGACGTATAACTCCTTTTGTAGTTTTGATGTCGACAACTCGAACACGATAATCTCTTCCACGAATAATGTTGATGATTTTACCAATGAGCCAACGCTGCGGGGGTAAAGTATCTTCTTTGATGATGACTAGGGAACCAGGGGTAATATTAGAGTTGGTGCTAGTCCATTTGTTGCGAGTCTGGAGCTCATTTATATAATCATGGGACCACTTTTTCCAGAATTGTTGCTTGATGGCGCTTATTCGGGCCCAATATTCAAGTTTGTTCATCTCATTTGTAGGGACATCACGTTCTGGCAAACTACGGAGGGGAGCGCCTATCAAGAAGTGTCCTGGTGTAAGAGCTTCAAAGTCACTGGGATTTGAGGATAGAGGCGAAATGGGCCTCGAGTTTAAAACTGCCTCTATCTCAATCATAGCCGTTGCGAGTTCTTCGTAGGTGAGCCTTGTGTTGTCCAGGGTTCTGGTTAAGTGACCTTTGGCCGATTTGACGGCCGCCTCCCACAATCCGCCAAAATGTGGTGCCCTAGGGGGAATAAATCGAAAATTAATAAATTGATTCGAGCAATAATTTGTAATAAAATTTGAATTTTTTGGCTCAAAAAGGAACGACTTTAATTGAGCCAACTTAGAGTTTGCACCAACGAAATTTGTTGCATTATCACAGAATATATCTGTGGGCAGACCTCTACGACCAATCATCCGTTTTAGGGCAGCAATGAAGGCATCTGTTGACAGGTCGGATACCACTTCAATATGGACAGCTTTGGTAGCGAGACAAACAAATATAGCGATGTATGTCTTGTAGGGGACCTTTCCTCTAATTCTTAGGTAGGTGTTGACTGGACCACAAAAATCGACAGCACACCTTGCGAAGGGCCTTGACGGGTTGAGTCGTTCCACAGGCAAATTTCCCATTATTTGTTGCAACAATTTTGGGCGATAGCGAATGCATTGAGGGCACGAATTTACAATGCTGCGACACAAATTCCTGGAGTTGATGATCCAAAATTGTTGGCGAATCAATGACATTAGAGCCTTGGGTCCAGCGTGGTAGTTACTGATGTGCAGATGACGTACGTAACAGTGGACGAAATGGCATTTGCTGTGCAAGATTATGGGGTGTTTTTTGGCCTTCAGATATTGCCGCGTACTCCAAGCGTCCGCCGACCTTGAGCAAGTTGAAACCATTTGACGAATCTAGGAAGGGGTTCAGACACTTTAGAGCACCTTGGGGATCTTTCTTCTTTAGAGCTCGAGTTATGTCATCTTGAAAATGTAGTTTCTGGATGTTGAAAACGATACAAAGTTTAGCATTTTCTAATTCTTGGGGCTGCAAAGAGTCAGAATTGGAAATATTAGTTTTTGTTTTTTGAGCAAAACGAAACATCCAGGCAATAATACGAATGATTTTTAAGTACGAGCTATATTTTCCAACAGAATCGAGGATGTAGTTAGATTTTGATTCAAGATGAAGTACGGTTTTCCGTTTTTCTTTGTCGAATACTTGCTGATTTTCTTCGGAGAGTTTATCAGTTTTAGTAGGGGGCCACTGAACAGGATCGAGAGCGAGAAATGCTGGTCCGTTGAACCAGATGGATGAGGCGAGTTCCTGCACAGTTGAACCACGAGAAACGATGTCAGCAGGGTTGAACTGGGTTAGGACATGTCGCCAAACGCAGCCATTAGTTAGATCTTGAATTTCTGATACCCTATTGCCAACAAAAACTGACAAAGTAGATGAATGTTGCTTTAGCCAGTGAAGAACTAGTTGCGAATCTGTCCACAGAACGACTTCCAGATTTGGTATTGCGAAAAGATTTTTGATTTTGGAATACAATTTTGCTAGAAGTTGTGCGCCACATAACTCAAGTTTGGGTAACGATTTTCGCTTTGTAGGAGCAACTCTAGATTTGGCAGTAAAGAGCCGAACAACAACATTTCCTGAAGAAGTTTTAACACGAAAGTAAAAACAACAACCATAAGCACGAATTGATGAGTCACAAAAGCAATGAAGTTGAACTGATTTAGAATCAGGAGCGAGACAAAAACGAGGAATTTTAAGTGAAGGTAATAGTTTGAGATCAGAGACGAAAGATTTCCAAGTGTATTTCTTGAGGTACAGACTCATCCCAGCCAATTTTTAGAATCCACAACTCTTGCATGATGATTTTAGCTTTTATTATGAGAGGGGATAAAAGTCCTAGGGGATCGAAAAGCGCTGACGAGAGCGACAAAATTGTACGTTTGGTTATTTTTTCATCAATTTGGACTTTAGGCGAAAACAAAAATAAGAAAACATCTTTTTGTTGGTCCCAAGAGATACCAAGAGCGCTAGTTACTGCAGAATCTTCAATATTAAGGTCTTTGACAGTTTTGTCGTCCTGAAAATCTCTATGATTAGAGTGCCACTTATCTAATTGAAACGAACCACGAATTAGAATTTCATTAACCTCCTGCTTCATACGAGACAATTCTTCAAGCGTATCTGAGCCACAAAGAAAATCATCAACGTAAAATGATGACTTAATGGTTTTTGCACCAAGTTCGAATTGGTCCATGTATTGGTCTGCGAGATAGTGAAGGCTTTTGATGGCAAGGTAGGGCGCAGCTGACATTCCATAGGTGACTGTATTTAGGTGATATGTTCGAATTTCTTCCTCTTCTGAATTTCTCCACAAAATATATTGGAATTTTCTATCTTGGGAGTCAATAAGGACTTGTCGATACATTTTTACTATATCGGCAGTAAGAGCGAAGCGATGAAGACGGAACCGAAGTAAAATTTTATACAGCTCATCTTGAATTGTTGGGCCAACCATAAGAAGATCATTGAGAGACTTCTGGGACGATGATGGACACGAGGCATCGAAAACAACTCTTAACTTTGTGGAAGTGCTACTTGGTTTGAAAACGCAATGGTGAGGGATGAAATAATGAGGCTCGTGTAGACGAGGGCTACGAACTAGACTCATATGTCCAAAATCTTCATACTCCTTCATAAAAGCAACATATTGTGATTTAAGATTGCTGTCACGAGCAAATCGTCTCTCTTGAGATACAAATCTTTTAAGAGCCATATTTCGAGAAAGACCTAAAGCGTCAGGAGATTCCTTGAAGGGCAATTTAACAACAATCCTACCAGAAGATTCACGATGAACAGTATCATTGAAAAATGTTTCACATTCAGATTGTTCTGGTGTCAAATCATTTGAGCCAGATTGAACTTCATCGATTTCCCACAAGCGCTGTAATTTAAGATCAATATCTTCTTCTATCGAGAGCATACAAGAAGAGCCACAAATATTGGGTTGTTTTGATACATAACGACCTGCTACAATCCATCCGAAAAGTGTTTTGTGTAATTTAGGCAAATTAGGGCCAAGTTTTATTTGACCAACTGCTAAAATGTCGAAAAACGTTTCAGTACCAATAAGTAAATCAATTCGTTTTGATTTGAAGAAGTTTTCATCCGCAAGTTCAGTATTTGGGGGCAAATTCCAGGATGAGACATCTAATTCATTATCAGGTTGATATGAAATATGAGGTGTGACACAAAATGAGAGCGAAACTTCAAAATCTGTGACTCGAGATTTTACATTTGTGGACGACCTATATTTAGATTTGCTAAGAGTGTTACCAATGCTAGAGACTTCAGTAGTTTGTTTTGTACGAGACAAATGTAATTTTTGGGAAAATTCATCGGTTATGAAATTCAATTGAGAGCAAGAATCTAACAAAGCGCGTCCCAATTGATAGCGACCAGTGGAGTCACGAACTAGAACCATGGCAGTAGCAAGCAGCACCTGTTCCGGCGAGGATTTTTCCATATGGGTATGGACCGAGGCAGAAGATTCATTCAAGGCAACATGAGAAGTAGTAGGTTCAGCAGCAGGGGACGAGGGCCGAGAAGCTGGCTGAGACCGATGAAGCAAACTATGATGCGAGCGAGAACAAAATTTGCACTTGAATGTGGAGGAACAACTACTTACTTGATGCCCTTTGGACAAACAATTTAGACAAAGGCTTAGACGTTTTGCATTTTCATACCTTTGACTAACATCCATATCTTTGAACCGAGAACAACGACTAATTGAGTGGCCAGATTTGGAGCAAAGCACACAAGAGCGTTTTGATACCGAAAAAGTATAGCCAGGTTTTGAATTTTTAGATTTGGACTTACCAGATTGATGATCAGGCTTACGAGGGGCCACAAAAGTATGGTTGGTATCAACCGATTCCAAAAATTGACAACGCCTTTTAAGGACCTTGGAGCAATCATCCCATGTTGGCAATCTGGTAAAGTCCAAGGAATCTTTCCACTTTCTTCTGGTATCTTCATCCACTTTTTCCATCACTATGTAAATCAGCATGGAATTAGCAATATCACTATGTGAGCCAAGAGACAGTAAGGAACTATAAAGGGCAGAAACATTATCGACGAGACTTCGTAATTGGGCACAATTGTATTTGGACATGGCAGGAAGTTCAAAAAGGGCGGTAATATTTTCCATAAAAATAAGCGAGCTATTATCATAACGCGTTTTGAGCCTTTCCAGAGCCTTCGGGTAATTTTCGTTCGTAATCTGGAAAGCCTTGACCGTTTCTAGAGCTTGGCCTTGGAGGCAGTTGAGCAAATGATTAAACTTTTCAATATTTGATAGGCCAAACTCACGATCGATAACTTGATTGAACGACGTTATAAAATTCTTGTATTCACTGTACTTACCACTAAATGTGGGCAATTTGAGTTGGGGCAATTTATGGCTGGGAGCTGGGAAACAAATGGTGGACTCGGACAACGTTGTGTTATGAACATCTTCACCAAGCTGCGACTGGATATTCATTTTGGCTGAGATGTACAAATCTTCAATTTCGGACCTAGCATTATCCTCGGGATCATATTTTTCAATTTGTGTTTGATACGTCAATATCTGTTTAAAATATGACTCCAGTATCCCCAAACGGCACTTCAACTCAGCAGACGAAAGTGTCTTACCTTCACCCCTTCCATTGGCTTCGATTTGGTTCTTGATGCGGGTAATACTCTTCTTCGTATTAGCCCGTTGCTGCTTAACCTCTTCCAAAGTCATCATAAATTTCCAAAAGTTTGGTTAAGTGAGCCAAAAATTTCCAAAAACAAATTTCAAAATGGATGATACTATGTATTGTAGAGCACCGACGCCAAAAGTTTTACGCCAAAAATGTTTATATACAAACTTTATGTATTTATTCACTTTCTATATAAATATGTACCGCAATATTCCGAGCGACAAATTTAGTATACACAAAATTCTATATTATGTACTGGAACCAAAAGCGAACAAATTTATGTATTTTCTTGTATATAAAGATTAGCGGTAAATTTATTTAACCCGAATTACGAGCGAACAAAGTTTATTTATTTTTGTACATAAAAATTTGCGGTAAAATTTTAGAGTCACTTTTATTTATTTTATTTTTCGATTCTATTTAGCGAGCCGACAAAATTTGTATAATGTTTGTAATAGGTATTTAAAAAAAATAGATTTGTAGTAGGTACGTCACTACAAATTTGTTTAACAGTTTTTTTTTTTTGTTGCACAGGTTTTTTTTTTTTTTATTGAACCACAAAGTTTTTTATTTTTCTTTTTGTAGCACTAGATATTGCCCTTGTAATAGAACCACTGTTTCCACTTCACAATATGACCGTACACTTTTTCTTTAAGTTGTACTACAACGAAAAGTTTTTAGAATATACCACGGACCGAGAACGACAAATTTAGGAAGATTTAGATTAATCACTTGCCCCACGTTGGGCGCCAAAATGTACGATGAAGAGCTTTTTCTTCACCGGCAACGTTATAGAGCAATTCGGTTCTATAGGTTGCTGAAATTGTTCTATGGGCAGTGATTATCTATAAAACAAAATAAATTACGACCGTGGTACCGACGAATGAAAAGAGCGATGTTTTTCGATTGACTTCAACTATGACAATGATTTATTTATTTAAAAATTCTTTTCTTAAGCCTAACAATTGATCATGTAAATAAGGGCTACACTGTTGTTATTGTAATATTATTTGTTTCTCACTTCCAATGTACCAACTCAACTTGTTTATTTATATTCAAAATATGCAAAAAAAAAATACATGCAATAAGTCTCCAAAATAAGAAATTGCATTTTTAAGAGCAACAACAATATGCTTATAATAAGAATTGGAGTGAGAAACAAATAATAAAAACTAACGGGTCATTACCAAAAATATGTACAGTGGTTAGTATGAACAAAAAATAATGACAAATTACAGTGGCAACAGTGAGCCAAAAATATGAATAAATTTAAATACAATAAAAAATGGAAAATTTAAACAAAACAAAATAATAATGTTAGTAATTATTATACGGTGACCTAACAGATTATTTGATGAAATTTGGCACGTACACCTCTTTTAGTCCATGTACAAACGCTCTTGAAAATTGTTATAATCGGTCAATTATTTCACCTAGCCCACATACAATTGGACCTCCCAAATAATGATTTCGATCCGATTTTTGTAATGATCGGGTTTCATTTGACCCTAGCCCCTATACAAAGTCCCCTTAATAAAATTACTTGAATATATAAACATAAATCCCAACAATAAATTTTATAAATATCGGCTTAATTCTTGCCCTAGCCCCCATACGACTGGACCTTCCGATTTGGATCTTTTAGCTCATAACTACGTCAAATATAATACTATCTTTCAAAAAATCGGTAAAACTAAGTTTGATATAAGCATAAATAACACGTAGATTTTCGTAATATTCGGACCTCAGTTGACCCTAGCCACCATACAAAGTCCCCTTAAGAAAAATACTTGAATATCCACTATACTCTAATAAACATTAGTATCACGATGAAATTCGGTACAAATGACTTTTATATAAACATAAATCTTTTTATACCCACCATCAAAAAAGATGGGGGTATATTGATTTTGTTATTCCGTTTGTAACACATATAAATATTGCTCTCAGACCCCATAAAGTATATATATTCTGGGTCATTGTAAAATTCTAAGACAATCTAGACATGTCCGTCTGTCTGTCTGTCCGTCCGTCTGTTCAAGGCACGATAGAGCCCAAAGGAATGGACCTATGAAGATGAAATTTTCCCAAAATATTCTACATTGATCAGAACTGTTTGGTATTGAAAATGGGCGATATAGGTCTACGCCTTCACGATTGGCCTAAACGTACCAGCATAGCAATGAAATTCGACGAAAGCTAGTTTTATAGGAACATAAATCTTTCTAATTAATGTGATTAGGATCGGACCATATTTGACCTTATCCCCCATATAAGGTCCCCTTCAGAAATTGACTTTAACTCTTATTATGGCTTAAAAAAAAACAAATACAGCGACGAAATTCGACATCAACAAGATTTGTATGAACCAAAGTCGCTCTAAAATATTTTATGAGAAACGGTCCATAATTGACACTACCCCTTCAAAAAATTACTTTATCGGTCATAACTGGCTTAAGAATACCAATATAGGCTATGAAACTCGATATATTTTGTGGGCACTAAAATTTACCTACTAAATTTTATAACAATCGGTCCATAATTGATCCTACCCCCATATACGGTCCCCTTCCAAAAATGACTTTAGAGCTCATAACTAGCATTTCTGCTATTGTTTCATTAATTAATTATCCGAAATTACACAGGATCCTTCAGGTAAGTTCCGTGACATGTCAGAGAGTATGAAAAAGATATCAATTAATCCCCTTGTAGGACATCACCATGTTAAAGTGATAGGTGCCCTCCAAAATAAAGTGTCAGAACTAGAACCGGTCCCTATCACTTCAGCACTAGCGCATGACATGTTTCATGTCAGTTCCCTTCCCCGCAGGGAAAAATCTTCCTACTTAATTTTATAGGGTCCATAATTGACCCTACTCCCCATATAAGATCCCCTTCAGAATCTAAATCCCCCTTCTTAATTTAAAAAGCATCGGTCCATAACTGACCCTAACAAGTTTCATAGGAATTTAAATTTCTTTGGAAAATTTCATATGAATCGGTCCATAATCGATCCAAGAAACCATATAAGGTCCACTTCAAAAATTACAAATTATTCATAACTGAAATGATGGTGACATTTAACATAATAAAATTTTATAGGTTTCAAAAATACTCTTCAATATTACATATGGATAGGTTCATAATTAACCATATCCCCTATGTAACACCTCTCAATAAATCTATGAAACATTTTACATTTTACTCTATATTACTACCGATACGACAACAAAATTTAACATATGAATATCTAATAAATATGTAAAGCACCAGCTTTGATGGTGGGTATATAAGATTCGGCACAGCCGAATATAACACTCTTACTTGTTCGAAGCACACCGGGTAATATATTTCATAATTTAGTTTTTTGTCTATTTCGCAAATGGGAAATTTTTGCCACAAATTTCAAGTTTATTGATTTATGCTTTTAAGTTAGGCCGAGATAAAAAAATTTTAGTTTTAGAATTAATATATTTTGTTTGTCGAAAATTATTGTGTTAATTACAAGAATTCATTATTGTGTTTGTTTGAAGGCTTAAAAAGTTAATAAACAAAGAAATTAATCACCGACATATTATAATTTATGTTTCCAATTAATTTTGTATTTTACATAAGTAATCACACACATACACTCAGGAATAAATATATTTTTTATATATGTATATGTGCATAAGTAAAATATGTAATCTGTATGTACCCTGAAGTTCAATGGAGAAAATGTATCAATAGAAACAGTATAGCAAGAAGGAATTTAATTGCCCCTTTAGTAGTATTGTGTCATTTAGAAAGAAGAAATACATACTTACACAGAGGGAATAAGAAATATACACGCTTGGTACCAAATTGACACCAAACTGTTTATAATTTTTCAATACCTTCCGTTGACAAAGTATATACATATGTACGACAACACTATGTAATGTTGACAACATTGCAACAATTCGTTGTCGAAATCTAAATTTTATACACATTCGTTGTCTAAATGTCAACAAACGTGTTAAGCTCTCGATTGACAAACAATCCATTGCCAATAGTGAGCAACGTTACATAGTGTTGTCGTACGTATGTATATATAGCTTGGATGTTATTATACGGATGTTATTGAAAAATTATAAACTCTTTGGTATCAATTTGGTACCAGGCCTTTTCCCTCTGTATATATAATAACTATTTTACAAAATTCGTTTCAGCCACCAAGCATTGCAGGGAATTGTTTTTGTTGCTTAGTTGTATGTTTTTCAGCGCTATATAAAAACATTTTCTTTTAGTCAATTCCCTCAATAGTCATTTGCTGTTATTACCACTGGGAAACAAACATGATGTTTTAGTTTATATATGTATGTATGTATGTTTTTGTTGCCTTGGCCATACTTATTTGAATATTTGTTGTTATAAACAAATTTCAAGCCATTTTTTTGTAACATAAAATGATGTTTAGGTTTTGTTTGAAAAGGGATAAAAGATTGTTTTTTGTTATTTTACTCAAATAAATAGTGAGTTAATATTAATGATTCTTAAAAAGTTGATAAAGGTCGAATATTTTAAAACAAAAAAATAAATTATACATATATACAAATTAATGGATATTTGGGTCGAATAATGGATGACCAGTTTGTCAGGCATGTTGATATAACTAAATACCTATAAAAGGTAGAGTAATTTGATACTAATTTCAAATTAAAGTAATATATTTATACGATTAAATATTGTCATATAAAGAGACGTAAATTAATAACTTAAAAATTGGTTGATATTTTCTTAAATTTTTTATAAAATTCTGTACAAATCTACTCTTATACTAAATATATCAACCTTAAAACATTAGCAAACTTAAGAAGAACCCCAAGTGTTTTAAAAAAAATTTAAATATTTAATACTAAAAACGAATAAGACAACAAAAACTGTTTTATAATCTCTATTTATCACAGCCCTAGGAGATGTTAAAAAGAAAAGGAAATCTGACTTTTTAAGGCCATACATCATCATATGAAACTAACATGTCATTCATCATTTTAAGATAAATATATGGATCTCCGACAGTGAATATTTTCTTTTAGATTCTTATTTTAAAATTTCTTTAAAGATTTTTATCACTTGTTTTTTCTCTACTCTTAAAAGGAACTTTGAAAAGACTTTGATAAGACATATTCAATTTCTTTAGAGAGATTTTTGAGAATTTTCTTAAAAAAAGCTTTTTAAAATGAATTTCTTATAGATAATATTATTTCAAAGATTCTTTGTTTAGTTTTTGACATTCAATATTACAAATACATATACAATTTTTAACTTCAACTTTATTTTTGACTCTGTCCCTTGTAACAACATCACTTTGATATGTTAGTTTTACTTAACTAGACAACTTTAATGTTTTGTTTTATTTTCATTTAGTTCTTTTTTTTTCGTCTTT